TTTCTGCAGGATGGCAAAGAATATGTTCACCAAATCAGTAAGTGCATTTGATATACCTGAGACCTTGTTAATTGCGTATGCCATATCCAGCCCAGCAGCTGTCATTAGGGCTCTAACTTGGTCATAACTATTTGTGGTGTCAATTGTTATTCTGTAGGATCTGACTTCTGTAAGCACCTAAGTGAATATATGACAGGGACCACCCTGTGCCCTGAATCCTGTGTTTAAAGATGGCACTAACTTCTGCCATTTCTCCTAGGCTGCTATACTGCTATATTAATTCACTATCTTTGCAGGGAAGACAGTTTCAGCGTTATCCACTTTAGCTTACTTACTATGGGAGCTCTTATCCTCAGGCCAAGGAACCAGTATCTGAGGGTTCTTCTAATAGTCTGTTCATTCCAAATAACATTCAGGGACTTGGAAAATGGCTTTGCAGTGAGCCCTCCCATTATGGTGTAATCTGGGTCAAGGTTCCATTTATTGCTTGAGTCCTCATGCCTCCAACAGAGGAACCATGATGATACTTTAGGTCTCCAGTTATCAATATTATATGAATGTTTCAGTATTTCCCCTGCCCCCATGTATAAGTTCCCAGAGTAAATGGCCACAGGTTCCCCTGGGGGAAAGACAGGAGGAAAAACTGCCATATACACTTGTCATGGTGTTGCATAGTCCTTCTTCCTGAGGACCTGGGCTCTCCTTCGGTCAGTCAGTTCCAGGTCTGAAGTCACTTTATGAGAACTGTGCCTACCCTGCTTCTGACAGGCACCACCACCTGGCTTCTATATCAGGATCCTATCTCCCTCCCTGTTATCAGGAGGCAGCTCCTATCATCAGCCCTGGTCCACGGAGGACAGCACTGAGATTGTCAGTGAAGCTGACACTGCCTGCTCCCTCATCAGCACTCTCGGGACAGCACCCAGAGGGCCCTTCTGCAGAACACTGTTACCTGCTGAGTTTCCCAGCCCTCCACAATATGGCCATTCTAGCATGGTCACCTCTCCTGGATTTCTATGCCTTCTTTTACCATCTGCCCTGGCAGTTCTAACATTTCTACTTCACTTAGTGTGAACCCTCTCCTACAAGGAACTAAGAGCCATCCTGGTGGTATGTTAGCACCATCTCTTGGAATCTTCATTGGATGGTCAAATCTAGTGTCTCTGGAGTGATCTCACATCAATAAACTCTCCCTTATCCTTAAGCTTAAGGTTTCACCTGCCTTGATCCAGCACCCTCAGACCCAGCCCACCCGTAGGTACTCTCCCAGGCCTGCTTGTATATGGCCTGTTAGATCCCATAGTTCCTTTGGAGTAGAATCTCTTTCGTCCCTTTGCCAGTTATCAACATACTGCCTCTCAGCTACAAATTCACCCCTCGTCGCACAGCATGCACTACTGAAAATTCACCTCCTTTGCCACCTGGCACAATGTTTAGCTCTGTCAGCAGAGGGTGCTAGAGGGATGCTGCCAGAGAAGGAGCCTCTGGTTGCTGTGCTTCCCTTTCTTCTCACTCCTGCAGCTCTTAGCTAGTGTACTAGACACCCAGGAGCAGCCCCTCTGGCCACTCCCCAGCTACTCACGCAGACATTCTAGCCAGCTCTTCAGCAAGTTTCAGTCAACCCCTGTGGGCAGCTTCCTACTGAGTTTCATGGGCACCCCTGCCAACTTCTCAGTGAGTTCAGTGATATCCATAGGTGGGTGCCCACCTGCCAGACTGATGTGGCACTTCAGTCAACTTCTTGGCCACCCAGTGGGCTACATCCACACCCCCTGACAATCTGAATCTCAGTCTTGAGGGGAGTAATTCTGCTAAACTTGTCCCTTCCTTCAGCACCCCACTTCAGCCCTAGGGGAGGAAGCTGCTCCCTGTGTCTGCTATTGCTTTATTCCTTGGTACCTAATCCTGCTAGTTATTAATGCCTGAAACATTCCCTGTTCAAATTATCTATGGTTTCTGTCCCCTGACTGGACTATCTCATGCACTTCTGTAACAGGCCCAATACTTTTCAGCTGGGTTATTTCGTGACTTAATGACCAGGAGAGGAGGTGACAGCAAAAAAGAAAAAGCCTGAACAATACATTTATGAATCTTTTCACAATTTCATATAAAATGACATATGTATGTGTATGTATAACTATACAAAAAGATTTGGGGAATTATGAAGTTTGTTTTTTTTGTTCCTCCCTCCCCACCCTAAAAACTTTTCCTAAAGTATTACAAAATAGTGAGGGAGCATGTCTGGTTTCTCAAGACAGAAGCTCTGCATTGTTTTCAAGCAAAGCTTGGGGGGAAGCGCTCATAGTGGGGCCATTTCTGCAGGTCTCAGAGGTATCCGATACTCAAGATTTATTTTTTAAATAAAATGTATTATATTTTTTTGAAACAGGGTCTCACTCGTTACCCAGGCTGGAGTGCAATGGCATAATCTCAGCTCCTTGCAACCTCCACCTCACAAACTCATATGACAATCACCCTTCCTCAGGCATCCAAATAGCTAGGATTACAGCCACCCAAACAGTCCATCATGCCCCACTAATTTATTTGTAGAGATGGCTGTGAAAGGAAAATAAATCTTGGGAACTCCAGGTCACTAAGGTAAAGGGAAAAGTGAAGGTGGAAACTGCTTAGGGCAAACCTGCCTCCCATTCTATTCAAAGTCAAATTCTATCCCCCTGAGGTTCACCTGAGACAGATGCGTATCTGACCTTCTCTCCCCTGTTGTTTCTGTAAAAATAGATTCACTAAATTGTGTATTCAGTGGAAGGCTGATCAAGAACTCAAAAGAATGCAACCTTTTGTTTTTGAAAGAGTCTCTTTTGAAACAGTCTCTTCAAAAGTAGTAAAAAAAAAAAAAAGAAAGAAAGAAAGAAAAAGAAACAGAGCCTCATTGTACCCCCCAGGCTGGAGTGCAGTGGTGTGATCTCGGCTCACTGCAACCTCTGCCTCCCAGTTCAAGCCCTTCTCCTGCCTCAGCCTCCTGAGTAGCTGGGATTACAGGTGCCTGCCACCGTGCCCGGCTAATTTTTTATTTTTAGCAGAGGCAGGGTTTCACCATGTTGGCCAGGCTGGTCTTGAACTCCTGACCTCAGGGGATCCACTCGGTTTGGCCTCCCAAAATGCTGGGATTACAGGTGTGAGTCATCCTGCCTGGCCCCTCTTTATCTACTTCTAATCTGGAAGTCCCCACTTCGAGTTGTCCTGCCTTACCAGACCAAATCAGTTACAGCTTACAGATATTGATATCTCATGTCTTCCAAAAATGTAAAAAAGCCAACTACCCCCAGCCACCTTGGGCACATGTCTCAGGGCATTGTAAGGCTGTGTCATAGGTGTGTCCTTAACCTGGGCAAAATAAACTTTCTAAATGGACTGAGAGCTGTCTGATATTTTACATTCACAGGTTTTCGCCATGTTGACCAAGCTGATCTGATTGATCCTGGAGGTCTTTTTTTTTCTCCCTATGGTGTCTCAATCAAGTTTAAAATATACCAATCCAAAGGTTCCCATCCTGTATCTCAGGGTCTGGTCCTTCTTTTCTCAGATCAAGACCTTAATCTTGGCCAGGCAGGGATGGCTCATGCCTGTAGTCTCAACACTTTGGTGGGCCAAGACAAGCTTCTTGAGCCCTGGGATTCGAGACCAGACTGGGCAACATGGCGAAACTTCATCTCTACTAAATATTGAAAACAAAACAAAACACTAGCCTGGTGTGGTGTGTGTGTCTGTAGTCTCAGCTACTCTGGAGAATCACCTGAGCCCCAGAGGCAGAGGTTAAAGTGAGCCACTGCACTCCAGCCTAGGTGTCTTTAAAAACAAAACAAAACAACAGCACACCACCAGGGCTGAAAATTCAGGTTTCTCTGGAGTAATCAGGACTAAGCAGGACTCAGTCTTGGGTCTATGGCTACAGGCTGTCTCTTTACAGGCTGCCCAGGAAGCCCTCTGGCTTTCAAGTTTAGCCTTAATTGCTTATTGCCCCCAGCCTTTTTTTTTTGGTATTTTTCCAAAGAATCTATTCCCAGCCACGCCCAATTTAGTTCCATTGTCTTCAACTGCCTTGTACTTCTCAGATGTGCAGTATTGTCCCAGCTGGTGCAGTTGCTCCCATTGGTAAGCCAAACCCACCTTGAGCCAGATTCGTATTCTACCCATAACTTGTGATGAGGTCATCAGTGCCAGCTTACCTGAGGGAAACCAAACTCCAACTCCAAACTCACGTCTACTTTCTCAGACCACTCCTGCCACCAACGGCAGCAGATCAGGTTCCCTGAGACTGAGATTTGTCAGCAGTTTACTGATGAGTGGCCTTGGAAATCAGAAGAACTGAACCTGGGGAAGCTGAAATGTGACACGTTGCAAAAAATGCCTCGGCCAATGCCACCTGACAAAGGGGGTCAGGTTGGCACAGATATATACAAGCTATAATTACAGTCATGCAGGGGTATGTTCTGAAAAATGCATCATTAGGCGATTTCATTGTTATGCAAACCTCACAGACCCCTGAGCTGAGGACTAGTATCTGTCTGTAGTCTCCTAGGAACCAGGCAACATAGCAGGACGTGAGCAGCAGGTGAGTAAGCATTACCACCTGAGCTCTACCTTCTGTCAGATCTGCAGCAGCATTTGATTATCAAAGGAGCATGAATCCTACAAGGAATAGGTTGCAGGCTCCTTATGAGAATCTAATGCCTGATGATCTGAGATGGAACAGTTTCATCCCAAAACCATCCCCCCGTCCCCATCCCATAGAAAAATGGTCTTCCATGAAACCAATCCCTGGTGCCAAAAAGGTTGGGGACTGCTGTCATATACTGAACTTACATGAACCTAAATGGCATAGCCTACTATACTCCTAGGCTGTATGGTCTATAGCCTATAGCTCCTAGGCTACAAACCTGTACAGCATGCTACTGCACCGAACACTGCAGGCAACTGTAACACAATGCTAAGTATTTGAGTATCTAAATATAGGTAAAAATACAGTATAAAAGATTTTAAAAAATATGGAACGCTTCACGAACTTGCACGTCATCCTTGCGCAGGGGCCATGCTAATCTTCTCTGTATCCAATTTTGGTATCTGTGCTGCTGAAGTGAGCACAGTATACAAGACTTTTTAAATGGTACTGATATAGGGCACTTACCATAAACGGAACTTGCAGGAGTGGAAGTTGCTCTGGGTGAGTCAGTGAGTGGAGAGTGAATGTGAAGCCCTAGTGCGTTACCATACACTATGTAGACTTCATAAACACTATACACTTAGGACACACTGCATTTATTTTTAAAGATTTTCTTTCTTCAGTAATAAATTAACCTCGGTGTACTTTAACATTTTTTACTTTATACACTTTCAAATTTTTTAAACTTTTGAACTCTTTTATAACATTTAGCTTAAGATAAAAACACACTGTATAGCTGAACAAGAATATTTTTTCTTTTTATCTTGATTCCATAACCTTTTCTCTATTATTAAGATACCTAACTTTTAAAAAAACGTTTTAAACTTTGTTTAAAACTAAGACAAACACACCCATTAGCCTAGGCCTACACAGGGTAGAGAGCATCAGTATTACTGTCTTTCACTTCCGTATCTTGTCCCTCCAGAAGGTCTTCAGAGGCAATAACACATACGGAGCTGTCACTTCCTATGGTAACAGTACCTTCTTCTGGATACCTCCTGGAGGACCTGCCTGGGTTGTTTTACAATTAACTATTTTTTCATAAGTAGGAGTACACTCTAAAATAATGAAAAAAAGCATATATAGTATTGTAAATATATAAACCAGTAACAGTCATTTGTTATCAAGTACTATGTATTGCACATAATTGTATATACATAGTACTGTACTTTTACACACCTGGCACTATGTATATACATAGTATAGTACACCCTAAAATAATGACAAAAAGCATATATAGTGTTGTAAATATATAAACCAGTAACAGTCATTTGTTGTCAAGTACTATGTATTGCACATAATTGTATATACATAGGACTGTACTTTTACACACCTGGCACTATGTATATACATAGTATAGTACAGTGTAGTAGGCTATACCATCTAGGTTTGTGCAAGTGGACTGTATGACATAGCTGTACACTATATACAGAGTGCTATACTTTTATACACCTGGCAGTGCAGCAGGTTCATGCCAACATCACAATAAAAACGTAATGTGCCTGGGCATGGTGGCTCATGCCTGCAATCTCAGTACTTTGGGAGGCTGAGGCAGGTGGATCACCTGAGGTCAGGAGTTCAAGACCAGCCTGGCCAACATGGTGAATCCCTGTCTCTACTAAAAAGACAAAAATGAGCCGGGCATGGTGGTGGGTACCTATAATCCCGGCAACTCCGAAGGCTGAGGCAGGAGAATCCCTTGAACCTAGGAGCAGGAGGTTGCAGTGAGCTGGGATCGGGCCACTGCACTCCAGCCTGGGTGACAAGAGTGAAACTGTCTTGGGGGAAAAAGTAAAGCGTTGTGTTATAACAGGATAGCTACGACTATCACTAGGAGACAGGAATTTTTCAGATCCATTACAATCTTATGGGACCACCAACATATATTCAGTCTGTCATTGACCAAAACATCATTCATTATGCAGCACATGACTGTCCAGTCACATAAATTATAATCACAGAAAAAAAATTAACAAAAATATAAAAGGTACATACTAAGTTGTTAACATAGGTTAACAATGAGAGGGTCCGACAAGCAAAAAAGAACTTGAATCTTCTCACAATTTGATATTAAAATGTTGTATGTATAATCTATATAAGTATATACATTTTTAAAAATGTATTTGGGAGGCCGAGGCAGGTGGATCACTTGAGGTCAGGAGTTTGAGACCAGCCTAACCAACATGGTGAAACCCTGCCTCTACTAAAAAGACGAAAATTAGCCAGGCATGGTGGCAGGCACCTGTAATCCAGGCTACTCAGGAGGCTGAGGCAAGAGAATACCTTGAACCCAGGAGGGAAAGGTTGCAGAGAGCTGAGATTGCACCACTGCACTCCAGGTTAGGTGAAAGAGCAAGACTCCCTCACTCCGTCTCAAAAAAAAAAAAGGAAACAAAGAAAGAAAAGAAAATTGTGTGGAATTACTGACTTTAGTTTTTGTTTAAACACAAAAACACTTCCTAATGTACTACAAAGAGACTCCCCAAAAATGTTGAGGAAAAAATCTGAAACACTAAAAAACAGTAGGCCAGGTACCGTGGCTCATGCCTGTAATACCAGTACTTTGAGAGGCAGGAGAATCGTGTAAGCCCAGGAGTTGGAGACCAGCCTGGGCAACATAGCAACACCTTGTCTCCACAAAACAAACGAAAAACCAGCCAGACACGGTGGCAATTGCCTGAAGTCCCAGCTGCTCAGGAGGCTGAGGTGAGAAGATTGCTTGAACCTGGGAGGTTTAGACTGCAATGACCTATGAATTTCAGCCTGGGCAACAGAGCAAGACCCTGTCTCCAAAAAAAGAAAAAGAAAAGAAAAAGTTTATTTCTCTCTCATGTTCTGAGGTCAATGGTCTCAATAGGTGGTATAGCTATTTTTCAAGTCACTCAGGGCCCAGCATCCTTCTAGCATGTTGTTCCACAATCTCTAGGACACTCTTATTTGCAGGGCTGGAGAAGAATCATTTTGGCTCCAACTGGTGGGAAGCAAAGAGGCCAGAGAAGCAGGCAAGCTATCTTGGAGCCTCACCTGGAAATGGCACCCATTTGAGTTCACAACTCACTGACAGGCACCTGGCCAATTGGTCAAACCTGACTGAAACAAGACTGAGCCATGTAGTGTAACTGTATGCCTCAGAAAAGAAGGATGGATTCCATGAGGTAAGCAATGAGTAATCGCTGCCAAAAAGGCATCTGGAACAATATAAAATGCCCATGACTATGAAGTAGTTGCCATAAAAGGCAGGATCATGGTTACATTTGAGCAGGGAGAGATTTTAATTCAGAAGTAAATTTTGAGGTGTTGGCAATGTAAGTGGTAGTTACATGGATGTTCTCTGACATTAATTTAAGTTTTGTATTTTTAGTGTTTTTCATGACAAACTGTTTTTTTTTTGAGACGGAGTTTCGCTCTTGTTACCCAGGCTGGAGTGCAATGGTGCGATCTCGGCTCACGGCAACCTCCACCTCCTGGGTTCACGCAATTCTCCTGCCTCAGCCTCCCAAGTAGCTGGGATTACAGGCACGCGCCACCATGCCCAGATAATTTTTTGTATTTTTAGTAAAGACGGGGTTTCACCATGTTGACCAGGATGGTCTCAATCTCTTGACCTTGTGATCCACCCGCCTTGGCCTCCCAAAGTGCTGGGATTACAGGCTTGAGCCACCACGCCCGGCCCGACAAAGCGTTTTTAAATATCTATACCTGGTTCAAGAAGATATAACAATCCAATCTTTACTGAATGTGTATCTCGAGTCACCTGTCAGTCAGTCTAGCAGATAAAAAAATTAGACCCCAAAATGACTAGTATCACAGGTTTAAATACAGTTTGGTGTGACTTAGTGTTTTTAAAAGCAAGTATTTGTAGTTTATTTCCATTAATTTCTGAGTTTAATTTCGATATTTATTTGGTATGAAATAGGCTCATGGAAATGAAAGGCTAGTTTACAATATTTTTCTTAGAAGTAAGAATTTGACATAGTAACAGCTCAGTATTTGACAAGAATCCAGGAGTCAATTAAAACTTTAGGTCCAGCATTACTCATCAATAATCCACCAGTAATCCAACTTTAATTTGGATTCATATGATAAAGGAATGAAACTGGTGAGCATCTGTGGTGGAAAGACACCAAGGTGGCCCTATGATCCCTGCCTCTTGGTATCAGGTCCTTGGGTAACCCTCTGTCCCTTTGAGTGTGAATGGGACTACTGATGAGCTTCTAACCAACAGAACACAGAAAAGGCAGCAGCATGTATGTGATCACATTACATAAAACTGTAATGTCAGTCTTGCTAAGGAGACTTTTGCTGGCTTAGAAAAAATGAGCTGCAGGCCAGGAGCAGTGGCTCACACCTGTAATCTCAGCACTTTGGGAGGCCGAGGCAGGTGGATCACGAGGTCAGGAGTTCAAGACTAGCCTGACCAACATGGTGAAACCCCGTCTCTACTAAAAATACAAAAATTAGCTGGGCATGGTGGCGTGTGCCTGTAATCTGAGCTACTCAGGAGGCTGAGGCAGGAGAATCACTTGAACCTGGGAGGTGGAGGTTGCAGTGAGCCAAGATCATGCTACTGCACTCCAGTCCAGGCAAAAGAGCATAACTCTGTCTCAAAAAAAAAAAAAAAAGAAAAAGAAAAAGGTGAGCTGCCTTGCCATACTGTAGGCTGCCCACAGAGAGGATCACATGACAGAAACTGGGGATGCCTTCCAGGCACCAGCGAGAAACTGAGACCCTCGGTTTGAAAGTCTACAAGAAACTGAATTCTGTTAACAACCATGTGAACTTAGAAGAGAATGCTTCCCTGCTGCAGCCTCGAGAGACACACCAGCCCTGGCTGACACCTGGAGTGCACCCTTGCAGAGGACCCGGTGGAGTCAGGTACAGGCTCCTGACGCACAGAAACTGTACAACAATAATTGTGTTGTTTTAAGCCAGTAAGCTTGTAGTAATAACGTTACACAGCAATAGAAAATACAATCCTTATGAAAATTTCACTATTTTTCCCAATCTAAGAATTGAGAGAAAAGTGGTATATTTTTTTCTATTATCTTCTCAATAACCTTAACAAAAACCAGGATTTTAACATTTTAATGGGGTATTTTATTTTTAGAGATAGGATCTTGCTATGTTGCCTAGGCTGGACTTGAACTCCTGGACTCAAGTGATTGTCACAGGCATTAACAGGGTATTTTAGAACAACGACAAGAGTTGACAGGAGATGGACTATCATAAATTTTTCATCAGAGCCTCATATTATAGCTGCCAGAGGCATTTCATTATTCTTACCAGTTTTTGAAGGGAAATATATTTCCACCTCTGTCAAGTATATACCCACTCTATTACTCAAAAAATATATGGAATAATAAATGTGATTATGATAGTGTTTTACACTATCAATTGCTAGGCATGTAATTCACACTCAAAAATTCTTTATTAGTGTGACTTCTACTGCAGTAAGGTATATAAGCAACATGCCTGAATAGATAGTGTCACTGTATCTTAAGAAGTTGTGTTTATGAGAGCTTTTGCGCTAATATTTGCCAACACTCTCAATTATTTCATTTCAATTTCATTACTCAATTATATCTCACTCACTTATGCCTTATTTTGTAGAAAGAGCAACCAACCACAAATTATTGACCCAGACTTACAAATTTAAAATAAAAACTACTTTTCTAGTTAGCAAAAAAAAAAAACCCCAAAAACAAAATAAAACACCAAAAACCCTGATGTTATAAACATTTCAGTGACATCTGTGAGCATATCACTGCTTTTACTATTATGCCGCATGTCATAAACACATATATACTGATCCAATAATCCTTGCCACCTAAGAGTTTACATTTCCATGTCAGTATAATACACATATTGTCAAAAACATATCTCTTGCTCACCACACACAACAGCAAATACTATGTATGGGTTCCACGACCTGAGAACCAAGATTAAAACATCTCTTTTGAAGATAGTAAAAAACCTAATCCAGATTCTAAGGAAATATTTGACAGAAACACCTGGAACAAGGAAGAAAGTGTTACATTTTTAAAGCAATAAAAGTTAAGGGAACATGAAAGTTAGTGAGCAGAAGCTCAGTCTACATTAAATGAGTGTAAAAGGAGTGGGAACTGGGCATCTGTCTACATGCATTCCATTTTCAATTCTTATCCTTTAGAATAATTAACATTCAAAGTATCAAGAGAGAGAAAGGTTCATAAAAATTACTTACTCTCTGTACTCTTTCCCCAAGTCTTAGAATCCACTAAATCACCTGAATGAATAGCAGACATAATCTTCTGAGCAACACTGGAGAGCGGTGTCTTACAGAGATCAAAGCCTACCAATGCCTCATAATTTTCCATTTTCACAAAATCCTAAATGTAAGATTAACATAAGGTAAATACCCATATATTAATTCTAATACTTTAAAACAGGAAATACAATGAAGTTATTTTGAAAAATTTATACACCAACTTTAAAATGTCTATATTTATAACCATAGAAAATGGGCATCAATCATCCAATAATATAGATAGGATATTAAGAAAAAAGCAAAATAGAGACTCAATCCAGATATCACAGTAAATAGATAAAGAACTTATTTTCTAGGTAACCAATTTAGAAGCAAGCAATTTACTCAAATACTTCTTGAGATTTGAAAAATGGTATTAAATCTTCAAATAAATCTAGTAACATGACTATAACTGACTTGGGTAATTATGGAGACACACAGCTACCAGCTACCATCCCCACCTTGATCAGCCCTGTTGGACCCCTGGGCTGAGCAAGTGAAGTTTTGGATGCGGACAGTATAAATCAAGCATTTAAACTGGGCAGGCCATGGCGGCTTACGCCTATAATGTCAGCACTCTGGAAGGCCAAGGTGGGTAGATCACTTGCAGTCAGGAGTTTGAGACTAGCCTGACCAACAGGGTGATACCCCATCTCTACTGAAAATACAAAAACTAGCCAGGTGTGGTGGTGTACGCCTATAATCCTATCTACTCAGGAGGCTGAGGCAGGAGAATCAATTGAGCCGAGATCATTCCACTGAACTCCAGCCTGAGAGACAGATTCTGTCTCAAAAAATTAGTTAATTAAATAAATCAAGCATCTGGCCCCCCATCTAAATAGCTGACACGAATTTAAACAGAATTTGCCACCATAAACCAAGTGACATATTTTCCACATTATCGGAGAAAAGAAAAATTTTAAGTAAATTCTCTATCCCAAGAGAGAATAGAAAAAAATATATACAACAACAAAAAAATGTTGCTCAAGTGATAGGGAGCTGATAGCAAAATCTTAAACAAAATTAACTGCTACAAAGTTAAGGTTTACATAAGAAATACAAAATTTTAAATAACGTAAAATAATTGGCAAAATATTTTTGTTCAATGGGTTGCAAAAATCAAGAGGGTTAATCAAAGTATGCCTGTTTTCTGATGGTTATAGCTAAAAAATTCCACAAAGACCACCCCAACTACATAGTTTTTAGATGGGCATTCTGTATTACAAGCAGGTAAGGAATATTCTTGAAGGTATTTCTACAAGACTCACATGGTATTTATCACAGGCCGTGTATAAATGGGGCACTCAAGAAGCATCTGATATAATAGCAGATGAGCTACTTCAAATTATTTTAGACCAACTCTTAAAATATTTTCTGGTTGCCCAAATACCATTATTAAATACAATTAAACATTTTTGCTCTTAAACTGATTAAAATAGTACCATACATCTTTTGAGCAACCACTTTTACAGAATTTTGAAATTAAAATTTCAAATTTCATTTGAAAATCATTTATGATGTATAAGTCACATTTAATGTCAAAGCACTGCTGAGCTATCTTGTAGAAACTTTTTTTTTTTTTTTGAGACGGAGTTTTCGCTCGTTACCCAGGCTGGAGCGCAATGGCGCGATCTCGGCTCACCGCAACCTCTGCCTCCTGGGTTCAGGCAATTCTCCTGCCTCAGCCTCCTGAGTAGCTGGGATTACAGGCACGCGCCACCATGCCCAGCTAATTTTTTGTATTTTTAGTAGAGACGGGGTTTCACCATGTTGACCAGGATGGTCTCGATCTCTTGACCTTGTGATCCACACGCCTAGGCCTCCCAAAGTGCTGGGATTACAGGCTCGAGCCACCGCGCCTGGCCCTTGTAGAAACGTTTGAGTCCCCAGAATTCAGACTCTAAAATGAATGATGGCCAATAAAGTCCCAATATTCTGTGGTACAAGTAGAGATATACAAACAGTCTAAAAGTCTATAGCAGGGAATTACGAAGGAATACAATTTGAGCAGCCCAATTTTATTTTACAGTCAGATATGAGGGGACTTGGCCATTTTACATACTAAGGTCTACAGATTTAAAATGCTGACTAGAAGTTCAATACATTTAAAAATATTTAACAGTAGCTGGGTGCGGTGGCTCAGGCCTGTAATTCCAGCACTTTGAGAGGCTGAGATGGGTGGATCACGAGGTCAGGAGATTGAGACCATCCTGGTCAACATGGTGAAACCCCATCTCTACTAAAAATACAAAAAATTAGCTGGGTGTGGTGGCGCATGCTTGTAGTCCCAGCTACTCGGGAGGCTGAGGCAAGAGAATCGCTTGAACTCGGGAGGCGAAGTTGCAGTGAGTCAAGATTGCACCATCATTGCACTCCAGCCTGGTGACAGAGTGAGACTCCATTTCATAAAAAAAAAAAAATTTAGCAGCAGAAAATTTCTATTTTTAAAAAGAAAGGAGATAAGTGTATTAAAAATATTTGCATTATGTCATAATGCTTTTTCCTTGTAAGTAAAAAATCACCAGGACTAAGTACCACTAAATAAATGCTTGTCATCAAGCACTGGTACTCTGAATGTACTACATGAGAAAAAAGTCAAACTAATAATACTTGAATTCATCAAATAAACTGTTCCATTGTCCTCAAATTTAAAAAATTTGGTAGTGTTTATTATACATAGTCTCCTCCTAATAAAAGAGCATGAGTAATAAAGATTCAGTTTTCAGTAATTTTCAATCTTCAAGACTAACAGCCTTAATTTTTGACTGGGTTTCTAAATTCTCCACAATATCTTTCAGATAATCTTCATCTTTTAAAAAATATACATATAATTCTCTTTCCACTTGATGTAATTTATTATTTGCCAAAGTTTTTCTTTTTGTCTTCACATCAGCAAGAATATCAGTGAGGAGATGATTTAGTTTATTCATTTGAGATTCAACTTGATGAAACTGCTCTGTTAACTCCTAAAAAAGGAAAATAAAAATAAAAATTCAAACACTTTATTCCTAATACCAATTATAAAATTAAAATATAATTTACATGGAAAGACTTTAAACGATTTAATAACTTCCCACAATTTTAGCAATAAATCTCAATTTCAAATCCATAACGGGTTAATTGCAACAACTTCTGATAATTTTAAGCAAACCCTTCCTGAAGAGCACTTGATATGTAAGTTGTTCTGTGCATTCATATAGTCAACAAATATTACTGTGCCAAGTACTGTTTTAGAGATTACATAAGAATGAACAAAATCTCCCTCATGGAGCTTATATTCTGCTTAATTAATCAAATATTGTTTTAGCCTATTCTGTTTATTCTAGAAAGAAGGTACAGAATATAAGACCAATAAAAAATAATTATCTAAACACAAATCTCCATTTTTCATATTTTCTTACCAGATAGAATTATACATGATATTCCACAAAAATCAGCTTGACTAATCATGTAATTTTCCTGCTCAAGAATCTAGCCATGCCAGACCCTTCACATTATAATAAATTTAAATTCCTCAGTTTCTAGCATTTAAACCAGATTATTAGCAAGTGTCCATAGCCTTCTAATGAAGGATTTTACTTAAAATTTTAGCCAGTTTTCAGAAAATCTGCTGCTCTAACTACCCTCAATTTTGCACAGCTTCTCAGCATGGTCCACGAGCATCCTAATTATCTGAGGTACTTGTTATGAATACAGATTCCTGTACCCCACACTAGACTAAATTACTTAATCTCTGTACAGGGCTAGGAACCTGCATTTTGATATGCTCCCTGATGATTCTAATGTACAAGTTCAAGAATGACTACTTAAGACCTGCCATAAATGCCAATTCACAGGGCAGTACGTCTTAAAATACATATTTTTGAAAATCAAGTAATTTTGACATTATATCTACATTTAGTGATCTCCTCTAAGACAAACTTGGTAAACTTGAATATACCAAGAAACAATAATCTCATCTTTACCTTCAATTAAATACTAAAGATCACATAATTGCTAAAAGAGTATTGCTACAGATACTAAAGTTCAGCTTCATTAATAACAGAAACACAAAACTGATACGGCATTTTACATCACATTGAGCTAGGGAAAAACACTAATGATACCCAGTGATAAGACTGGAGTGAAATTACCATATTTTAGTGATTACTGGATACATGTTTTTCATATTTGAATATATTTGAAATGAAGATGCATCTTATTCAAGAATCTCATTATGATTGTTTCTGGCCAGGTACTCTTAAGAAATACTTTTTCACCAACATTCTTGATATACAATGTGGAAAATTACACACGACTTTGAGTCAAAAAATAACTTAGAATTGGACACTGAAATGTGAAGCTTTAGAACTACCCTAACCATTTAAATTATTTTTTCCCTTTTAACATATGTCCAAGAAATCTATGTCTACCTATACCTAAAAATATATTTTCTGGGAAGTATGAAAAACAAAAATTCTTAACAAGAAAACATTATGTCAGTTTAAGAGTTTTTTGTTTTAGCAATTCATAAAATGATGGTGTACCTTATGATCAATGGTGTCTAGTACACACTTAAATAGTGCTGGTAACATTATAAACGCCTTTAAAAAGCAGTACAAAGGCGAAAAAAAAGTGTATATATCACCCTAGCATAAAAAACCCAATGACCCTGTTTCCAAGAATTTAACCAGATGGAAGTACCCAACAATAAGCTACACACACAGAGATGCACAAAGATAGTGATGTTCAAGAGCAAGCGAAAGAACAAAATGAAGACTACCAAAACGCCCAGGAACAACAATCATGATGCACAGTAATTACATCAATAGATAGTTAACATTAAAAGAAAACTATTTGGAGAGTAAAAATGTTTATTTCATCATGCTAAGTAAAAACAAAACTACGGTCTTTGCTGAGGGTCTTTAGAAGTTAGCACCATGGCAGAAGAAATGAAGATCAAAATTAAGAACTACAGAACTGTCCCTTTTGACAACCACTTCACCAACCAGAACCAGAACACGAACTGCGGGAACAACTACCTAGACTTCTACCACTCCACGAAGGCAATGACTGCTAAAGAGGATGATGTATCTGTGTGCAAATGGTACTGGCATGTGTACAAGTCCCTCTGCCCCATATCCTCGGTCTTGGCCCGGGACAAAGGCATGTTTCCTGGGAAGATCTGAACTGGTTCCACCCCACCTTTCCTCTGTTTTCCATCCTTCTCCCAGGGTGGTAAAGGGGGCCCTGGGTACATGACGATCCCTATCCTGGGTCCATGAATCAGGACTTAACTAATAGTAAAAACTTACTGGTCAAGTATAAAGAAAACTATATGCCTTACAGTAACTAAGCAAAAGAAAAATGGCACAGGAATATTAACATGAGACAAGAGTATCAAGACAAAAAGCATCACAGGAATAGTCATTATGCAATGCTAAATGCTTTGATTCACTGCAATTTAAAACCACCAGGATAATTATTCACTGCAATTTTAAACTTGGATATCACTAAAAAAAATAGACTCAAAATACATAAAGAAAAAATGATATAAAACTACATGGAGAAATTATCAAATCCACCATCAGAGCAGAAATTTTTACACGATTATCAATAGAACAAGAAGGCAAAAATCAGTAATGGGAGACCTTCCAAAAAAAACCATCACAGATACCACTTCACACCCATTGGGATGGCTATTTTAAAAACCACAGGAAATAACAAGTGTTGGCAAAGATGTGGAGAAACTGGAACTGTGCAGCTATGAGACATATAAGACCATCATAGCAGTATGACCTACAGTAACAAAAACTGGAAATAACCTAAATGTCTGTCAATCTAACATTTGGAATATCATATAATGGAATACTAACTATACAATATACAGTATACAGTATAACAATACTAACTATACAAAAGAGAAAACTGAATGAGCTATAGCTTTACATGTATCAACGTGAATAAATCTCAAAAACATGTTAAGCCACTGAAAAAGCAAGCAAGTCACTGAAGGACACATACCATCAATATACATACCATCAGTATAATAACAGCATATAAAGTTCAAAAACATACAAAATTAGGCTGAGCGCATTGGCTCATGCCTGTAATCCCAGCACTGTGAGAGGCCAAGGCAGGCAGATCACAAAGTCAAGAGATCAAGACCATCCTAGCCAAACCCTGTCTCTACTAAAAATACAAAAATTAGCTGAGTGTGGCAGCATGTGCCTGTAGTACCAGCTACTCAGGAGGCTGAGGCAGAATAATCACTTGAACTGGGAGACGGAGGTTGCAGTGAGCTGAGATCACGCCATTGCACTCCAGACTCGTGACAGAGCGAGACTCAGTCTCAAAAAAAAAAAAACATATACAACTAACTACACAGTCTAGGAATATATATATGTGTGTGTGTGTGTGTGTGTATGTGTGTGTAATAAACTATACATAAAAGCAAGAAAATGATGGACAAAATTAAGCATGGTAGTTACTCTTTGAAGAAGAGAGGGGAATTATATTTGGAGGGCATATACCAGTACATAGAGGATTTTAAAGATATAAAGGCAATCCTATATTTGCTAAGATGAGTAAAAACAATAGAGGTGGTTTTTTTTAAACACTAATATACACATTACATATCCTTTGGTGTCTGAACAATTGTATACATTTTTAAATTTCTGTGTATACTCATCAAAAACTATCTGAAAAATGTATTTATATGTGAACAAAAATTAGGAGATATAAAAACATATTTTATATTAAGGCAATGGAATTGGAATAATAATTTCCTAATGTTAACATTTTCTTTAATATCTTTTACAACAAACTTTTTTTTAAAAGCATTTTTAACTACTATGGCAAATACCCACCTGATCACTAAGCAGAAGCTGATTTCCTCCTTGATACAAAGCATCGCAAAGCATGTCCACATCATTATTTAGTTTGGATAGAAAGAAAGAATGTTCTTGAGCAGATACTGCCAACTGATCTTGTACTAAAGAAACATTCTGTTTCAATTTCTCAGCCACTTCCTCAAGGTTTCCATGAGTTAGAAACAATTCTTTTTTCTTATTCTCTCCCTCTAAAAGTTGGTAAAGCCTATAAAATGTAAAAGTTAAAATTTTTAAGTCAGAATTTTCAAGTCAGAATCATTTTCAAAATTACAATCCACTGTACTGGGGCATTTGTGGGGATAGCTAAGTAACAACTTATAAAAATATTGGGCCAGGAGGGGTGACTCACACCTGTAATCCCAGCACTTTGGGAGGCCGAGGTAGGCAGATCATGAGGTTAGGAGATTGAGACCGTCCTGGCCAACATGGTGAAACCCCGTGTCCACTAAAATACAAAAAATTAGCCAGGCGCGGTGGCCTGCACCTGTAGTCCCAGCTACTCGGGAGGCTGAGGCAGGGGAACCACTTGAACTCAGGTGGCAGTGGTGGCACTAAACCAAGATCACACCACTGCACTCCAGCCTGGGCGACAGTGTCTTAAAAAAAAAAAAAAAAAAGTGTGTGTCTGCTAAAATCAAGCAACTAAAACCATTCTAACTGTAGCACTATTTCAGTACTACTATATTAGCTAACATTCTATTACTGAATTCCCAGCTTTCCCACCAACCAAGTTTTACATAGAAAATTCTTTTAACTTTAACTGCCACTAACATACTTCAAAGTGCACTTCAGAGATACCTCCAAAGAAAACACTTGTTTCCCAGAATATAACTATGATGTAGTACAAACAGGCTTTGGCTCATGTTTGTAATCTCAGCACTGCGGGAGGACTGCTTGAGACCAGGAGTTTAAGATCAGACTGGGCAACATAATGAAGCCCCATCTCTACAAAAAAAAAAATTTTTTTAAATAGCCAGGCATAGTGGCCCGTGCCTGTAGTCCTAACTCCTCCGGAAGTTGATGCAGGAGGATCACTTGAGCCCAGGAGTTGGAGGCTGCAGTGAGCTATGATCACATCACTGTATTCCCACCTGGGCAAGAGAGACAGCTCTTGTCTTAAAAGGAAAGAAAAGAAAAGGAAGGAAGAGAGAAAGGAAGGGAAAGCAAGGAGATAAAGGAGGGAAGGAAGGAAAAAACAAGCCAGCCAGTCAGCCAGCCAGCCTGCAAGGAATAAATTTGAAACAGAAGACCTAGGTCTAGGTCTGAGTTTTCTGGGATGTGAAACCCAGGGCAAATCGAACATTCAGACTTATTTCCACATCTTAACTATGCCACATCTTAACCTACCTATATAACAGGATTGTGGTGGGATTAAAAGAGAAAAACAGAAAATATAAACAATGTAAAATATAAAGATGTAAAATTAAAACAATTAAAATGTAAACAATAAAGAGCTACATAAATGGCTATAGTAAACTTTTGCTACTCCAGTCTTGTCTGTATTTGGTTGGCAAATTAAAATCTTGATGAGCCATGAGCCCACTTTAATATGTCAAACCTTAACTGCAGAAAATTATTCTACAGGACAAATGGAAAAATCTGGGACAGCACCTTCCACATACCTTTAACAAAAAAGGTCTCCTCTTTTTCTCAGAATTGTTTTAAAAGTTATTTTATCAAGTTGTAACAGACTTCCTAAAACTAGTTCAATCCCAAAGCTGCCAATTACAGTCTTACAGATGTAACTACACAATTCCAAGGGGCATCATTCACATAAATCATGATGTCAATGGTAACCCCTGAAATTGTGCAATGAGGCAACCCTATCCAGGCCCCCTCATTTTATTAATATGAAAACAAAAAGATTAGATGCTTTTACCCTACCTGGAGAAAAATGAGGAGTAGGAGCCAGATTTTTGAGGTCTTAAGACTACTTTAGCCCTCCAATTGTCAGCATCCCTGTGCCATCAATTGCTCAGACATCCAGATGAAGCTTGGGACCTAGCATTCATTCTCAGTGATTCTCCTGACTAAACACAGAAATGAAGTCTTCTCCCCTCTCCACTGCTACCTTCTCCAAATGCAGTCAATCCCCTGCCCAGCAATACCTACTATGCTAAGCTGTATTCAAACTTCCTGCCCCAAATCTAAAATGAGATATATAAATAATGATGCCGAAAGGAGAATGAAACCCACTCATTCCTCCAACCCATCCACTTCAGCTACAAAGTAGCTACTTTTAGATCTAACATAAATGGAAAAGGGGGCAAAAAAAAATTACAAATGAAAAAAAGGCATATAAAAATGGGAAAAAAATACAAAGGCCAAAAGTGAAATGGAAAGAATTGTTAAAAGTTCCAAAATTTTAGCTCAAACTTTCTCCAGTATTTTGCAAAAACAAAAGGAAATATTTACTAAAGAAACAAGGAAGCATACGTACCTATGAGTAGAGTGATCCTTAGTATCAATGGTATTCCTTGGATTTATCTGCTGAGAGACTGATGGATCTGTTAACATTTCTAATTGCTTGTAGAGCATCAAGTTACTTTGACCAAGTTCCTGAACCAAGTTTTCAAGTTGATGATATATATCCCAATGCTTTCTTAATTCAATTTCATATGATAACTGTAGAAGTTCAAATGATGCCTTTTGTTTTATTAATTGATTTAAAACTAACTCTTGTCTTGCTGTATAATAATCTTGTTTAGCAATCTGCAGATCAAAATCTCCCTTTACCATTGGCATATTTAATAACTGGGCATTCTCTCTTACCACAGCAGGTAAACTTTTGTCTTTTATTTGAGTGATCTGTTCTTCAAATTTCTTAATCTCACTGGTCAAGCTAGAAATTTTAGCATCCAAATTTTCTTTGTCCACAGCCTACACAAAGAAAAGCAATCACATTTGAAACTGGATGCCTAAATTTGAAATCATCTTAAGATTATTTTCACTTTCCACTTTAGGTGACAAGATAACAAGCTCAATGAATGAACACGAATTTAATATTCCTATAAACCAAAATTACAGTTTAAAAATGAAAAGTGTAGACTAAGTCAAGGGTATGAATTACTAAATTTTAATGCTATTACTACCATACATATAGTAATGGCTACCAAAATAGAGATCTTATCATGCCTGTTTGTTTTACTCAATCAAAACCATTGTTATTAATAGCATACTACTCACTGAATCCAAGTATATGTTCAGTTTTTCTTAAAAGTTAAAATTACAATAGGTCCTAGTCAGCCAGTCGATTTTAGCTGACTTTTACATAATTATTGGACTTCCTATATTATTCCAAAGTTTTTGTCAGCTATAGAAACTAACTTGGTGCTGATATTCAAATTCAGAAAACTTACATTTTTACTCAACTATCTAGCAGTTATATTACCAAGAAAGCAAGCTCTCCAAGAGTGCTGACAGACTTCTGTAATACATTTATCCATATATTCTCAAAAAGGAATTGGTTTGTCTACTGAACTTGGACCTCTGACTTTATTAGCACTATGCTCTGGTTGGAGCAAAAGAGGCAGAATACCCATAATAAAGCAATTAGTTTCTAGCCACATCTTAAAAAGGAAATCTCAGTCCAGTCTGTATCTGCGTTACACAAATTTAAAATTCATAATGCAAATTAAAGCACTTGTGTTTAAAATAAGCTAGATAATGTGGTTGAGATTATAATTACTATTGCTGCCCCGCATTAACATATGGGTCTATTTTGGCGCGTGCCTGTAGTCCCAGCTACTCGGGAGGCTGAGGCAGGAGAATTGCCTGAACCCAGGGGGCGGAGGTTGCGGTGAGCCGAGATTGCGCCATTGCACTCCAGCGTGGGTAACAAGAGCGAAACTCCGTCTCAAAAAATAAAAATAAAAAAAAAAGAAACATCGACACATAGCACAAATAAGCACCTTGA